GAAGAAGAAGAAGAAGAAGAAGAAGAACCAGGAGAATCAGGAGCCAAGCGGAGAAGAGGAGGTGGCAGGAGAGGAAGGGAAAACTGCGAAGAGAAAGAAGAAGAAGAAGCAGGAGGAGGACAAAGAAGAGCCAGTTGAGACAGAGAAGAAGAAGAGGAAGAAGGACAAGAAGAAAAAGGAGGATGACAGAGAAGAGCCGGCTGAGACAGAGGTACCTCTGGAAGACACAGATGAGCCAGACCAGGCTGGGCACAGCCCCAGGAGGAAGAGGAAGAAGAGGAAGAGGGAGCCAGAGTGATCAAGAGCCAAGTCTGCCGTGCTGCGTGGCTGCCAGTACCGTCTGGCTGTGAGGGTCCCGATCCTGCCTGCTGGCTGGGCTCTTCCCAGGTGGAGCCCAGCGCTGTGGCCCAGCTGCGCGTTCGCTGCCTGGGGATGCCGGGCCGGGACTGGTTGGTCCGGAGCTGCAATGAGCTTTATTTCACTCCCTGAGCCGTCCTCCCGTCAGGGGTGACCCCAGTTCCCACCAGACCCCGGGGCAGGGACCCACGTGCCGTGGGTCTGTCACAGAGGGACACAAGGGGACAGAACCCCACAGAGTATCAAAATGTTTTTTTTTCAAGGGCACGAATAAATTTTTATTGCAGTTAAACTTATCCCGAAGTGCAAGATCCGTGGCAGACCCTGGGATCCCAGATTGCATCTACACCTAGAAGCACTCAAGATTAGGTACCAACCCCAAACACAGCCCGCCTGGCAGCCGCCCTGGTGCTCCCGAGCTCCTGGGGGCTTTCGTCCGCAGTGCATTTCGATGAGGTGCTGAGCATCCTCCTAGCAGAGAGCTGCGGCTGTGGCAGAATTAGACCCTGATCTGCTCTGCCGGAGCCTAACCCAGTACCCAAAGCCCGTGCCGAGTCCCAGCCCTAAGTCAGCTGCAGGACGCAGTCTGTCTCGGGGTACGCCGGCAGGTTTAAAGCGTATTTCTCCTGGAGCGCGGCGGGCACAAGCCTGCCCCCGAGGTAGTGGTAGCGGCCGGTGAAATGCATTGCTGCCTTCTTGGGTGCCGTGAGCGAGATGAGCATGTCGGGCTGGAGACCGTCCGCCTTCCCCTTCTCCACGTCCCAGCCTGCAACGAGCCCCCAGGGCAAGCTGGAGCCAGAAAGACCCTGGCCGGGCACCTTCCCGCGGTGGGTCTGGCTGTTACTC